TGCCTCCCATTCTCTGGTAAGACCTCCTCCTCTGATCTGGCACCTGGGGCCCTTCACCGTGGACCCTGCGTTGTACCTCGTCAACAATTCAGCCCGCATTCTCTGCATGTAACCCCTCTGACTAGGGTTGCTTGAGTAGTAGCATTCCAACAGAGCCATGTTATCGCATCACGCCCATCTCCGCTTTGTTCCAGTAGCCCATTTTTCATCAAGGTGCTCTGGTCACCTGACGCAGACCTTGTTTGGCCGGGCGACGTCTGAGCCGGCATGTCATTCGTTTTATTGTCTCTCATCATTGTACGAGGTAGGCATTAGCGTGAAGGGTCTTGCCCAAGGACCCACACTGGATGGTGTTATGTGCTCATTTTTGCCCCAAGCGGGATTTGAACCCCCGTCTCCCGTACGCCAAACCGATGCCTTACCAACTGAGCTATCCAGCCACTTTGCTGCATAGCGATATATATATATATATATATCAGAAAAACGCAAAGAAGCGTGGGATCGGGTATACTCATCCAGGCTGCCAGTACGAAGTCCAATACTTTACGCAAAAAAATACAAACAAAAAAATAAAAATGTGAACCTTGAGTAAGTTTTCCTCGCCAGTGATTGGTGAATAGTTGAATAAGGGGGGCTGGTTACCCTCAAATAATCAGCGAATAGGCAAACTTATATGCCAGATGCACTGTACATTGCGCCCCCCCCTCACTCGTCTAAACCCCTAGGCCTATTTATTTTATAGTTTAGAAGGCTACCGATGCATCACAGTACGCCAGGCTCATGGTGACATTGCAATAAACACACCCACACCGGAATAAATGCATAGTTTATTGTCATAATCATTGTCACAATCAAAACAGTCAATCCGAGCACTAAAAGTGCTGTCACATCGTACGGTGAAGCTCCATCCAAAGCGACACAACAGTGTAGGGGTGATTGCCCACTCCACTGCTATACAATGATACTAGATTATACTGAGGCTACGTGTTCCGCTACACTTGAGATATTACCTGAATAGTATGACCAACAAGCCTTAAATCAGTGCACAAAGTGAGACGTCGGCTCACAAAAGACAAGCTATGTTCTAAAAGGGTTACTTTCAAGGCATGTTTCCCAAACTGAGGGTCCCAGGTCCATTTAAAGTTGCATTTTAGTCATCACAAAGGCCAAATTATTCGGAAACCCCTTGGATTAAATTTAAGACATCACGTGAAAAAAATAAGATCTTATTGTATGTGAAATATAACCACAAATATGGCAATGTGGTTTATCTTGGCTGATCAAGATCACGGCTTATCTGCTAGCTGCTAGCAGTTCGCAGAAGTCAAATGTAGGACTTGTTAGTAGGGCCAGACCAATATGGATCTTTTTTAAGGTCAATAAAGTTTCCAATATTTGGCAAAATAAGAATCCGACAACCAATTAATCAGACAATTAATTTTATAAAATAATGAAAACTACTTTTTTGGTCCCTTAATCCCTCCAAAAATTCATATTTGAATTACAGGAAGAACATTAGACTGTTTTACAATACTTTGATTTTCCCTTTAGATTACTGCCCTTTAGATTTGTTTAACAACACAACAGAGAGAAAAATTGGCAAAAATCGACCAATATTATATTTAGTGGGGGGGGGGGCAATATTTTAATGTCATGATTTTTGTCTTATGTTGTAATGTGTTAAAAATTACACCCAAAAAAAAGACAAATTTCTGCCTATTTTAAGAGTTAATATCGGCTGGCCTATTAATCGGTTAAACCAACTGTTTAGGGTCCATTTCCATCCATCCATTTTCATCACCACTTAACCTGTACACTGGCCGTGGGGGGGCTGGAGGTGGGGGTAAGTTTGGCTTGGAACCTATCTCAGGTGACTTCAGGTGGAAGGCAGATTTCACCCTGAACTGGATGCCAGTAGGTCGCAGGGCACAAAAAGAGACAAACAACCATTCATGGTACATGGTTGCTAAAATGGGATGTATGAATATTAAACAGAACCCTCCGGGTGGGTCAGTCTTGGAGGTCCTTTACGGTAAATAAAGTGTCAAACTAGCTTTTAGTGTGGCCACTTGGTTGGAAGCCAAGGTTTGTGAATATTAAAATGGTTGAGGGATCCCAGTCCAAGAGGCCCTTCAAGGACAATAAAAGATTCAGGCCACTTTCTTGCGCATCCTCGAGCGGGATTGAGAAATCCTGCACAAAATATTAACTACAAACTCATAAAAAAGTAACTTCGCTTAATTTGTATTTGTGGCATCTTTAAATGACCACTATATTTGGAGAATGAATGCCTTAAATTTGGACACAAAAAAAAAATCTATTTACAAGAATAAAGCTACTGGAGGTAGACGTAAGGGTCCACAGGGAGGTCCTTCAAGGTAAATAAAGTGTTTAACTATAGTTAAGGGGATGGCTACATAGCTGCTGAGTCAGAATTTCTAAATATTGAATAAAAACCTTTAGGAGTCCATTCCTGGATGTCCTTAAAGGTAAATAGACTTTAACGAGCCTCAAGAGGGAGATGCAAGGTCAATATTGAGTCCTGGACGTCCTTCAAGAGAAGAGCAGCAAAAGGTTGAGAGCACTTCGGGGTCTTTTTGGTGCATCCTTCAGCATCACCCCCCCACCCCCCCATAAAACCAGGACGACCCTCCCCCTCTTCCTCCGGTGTCCTCCATCCTCGCATCCATCCGTGCGCGCTCCTGCCGCAGCCTCTACACCTCACGCAAAGCCCGCCCACCGGCGTGCGGTTACCCTCCAGCTCGGTCATCCGAATTTAGGCGCGCAGTTGGTGCGGTTGTGCGGCTCCGTGACACTGCTGGTGCTGTTGTTGTGCGGGTCGGGCGTCCAGAAGAATACGTAGTAGATTACCAGGATGAAGGCGGCCACGGACACGCACATGAAATAGGCGATAGCCATGGCCACTTTGACCCACACCTTGGCGGACATGCTGGCGTGCTTGGCGCGCGGCTCCCCCGGGTAGCTGGGCCTCCGCTTGGGGTCGCCGTTCAGCTTGTCCACGGTGATGCTGGCCCCTCCGTCGGCTGCTTTCATCTTGCGAGTGAAGCCACTTCCCCCACCGGCGTGGAGCTCATCTGAGGCGGGATGGGTACGGAGCCGAGACCCCTCCTCGGTTCGCGGATCGCCAACACGGGCCGGGGCGGAGAGTGGGCTGCGTGGAGAGGCGCGTTTGAGTGCCGCGCACTGCGGTACTGCTGCCTCTGCCCCTTGTCCTCTGCGCCGAGTGGGACAAGTGAACTCAAGGAGGATCATCATCCGCGGGACGGGACAGCTGTCAAGCCTGCCCTGGGATGTAATGTAACTTCCGGAATGTGTTTCAAAATAAAAGGTTTCCCGGAAATAACACGTACTACCAGCATTAAAATATAAGTTGCGTAGTCGGCCTGGTGGTAATCAAAAACGAAGCATTTAATAATGTTCGAGGAGACTGTATCAATGCTGTTATGATTTATTAAAAAGCTACATAATGGTCATCTAACTTACATGCCACATCAGAATTGTACCCATGTAAAAAAGTTCTAAATGATTAGGACTACAGTATTATACACAACATGGGAAAGGACAACAGCCCAGTTTAAAATGAATTTAACTCCACTTTTTCTAGCCGTCATCGGCAAGTATCACTGTTGTCAGTCCCATGTGTGCTTTCTTTAGGGTTTTTTTTGGTCCTTTTTACTCTCTTTCAGTTTGATCTCTCGCAGGCTTCCATGTTTTATAAAATGTTTCATTTTTACAAACTTTTTGCAATACGATTGTAATGATAACCTTAGTTATGGAGGCTATTTTTTAAAGTTCAAAATGTTGTACTGCTCTCTAAGACTGTATTCTTGATACACGTTTATTTGTACATTTTTGTGATTAAAATATATATTTTTTAAAGTCTCTCGCATGAAATTCTTGAGCGTCTGCTCTGCTGCTTTAAATATTACTGCCATAAAGAATTGTGTGCAAGACATCTCTTCATAAAGGTGGGTCAGGAGTAAAAAGGTGTGCTATTATTTGTCCTGCTGGTTTTGTTGTTAAACCTGCATGGCAACATAACACAAGATGGAGGATGTAATAAACACAAAAATAAACACGCTTGCACTGATGCGTCACTTGCTTTGTTTTTGTCCTACAAGGTCAAAATGGTCCACTGGCAACAGCTTTAAACATGTCGGGATGATGGATGAACAAATTGTGGGTGGCAACAAAGGTGGTCTCCAACATGGACATTTTAAAATTCTCATCAGATCTACATTTTAATTGATGGGCATGGCAAAACAAAGAAGCTTCTTATCATTATGAGTACTAAGAATATATACCTAATGACATAAATCCCATTTCTATGAATGCACATCTTGCATTACAGAAAGTTAAATTCATATGCGCATTTTATGTGGGTTTTTTTTTTTTGCTCACCATAGATTCCCTTCCGATCGCCAGCTGTTGCAGTAATATGGGCTTTGAAAACAAACAAACCATTTCGGACGGCAAACCTAATAACAGTCTTTTTCTTTTCAGACATTAAAATGTACGAACGACTATATAGCATTCATATGTCTGAAAATTGATCGTAATATTTGCTTAAAAGTAATGAAAAGTGGTATAAAAGTGTCTCGAAAACAACTGAAGTCTATTAAAGGGTTCCTGCAAATAAAAACTCATGAGACTGTACAGCCTCGTGATTGGTTAATCTGAGGTGGGGGGGGGGTTGCGGTTTTAGCTGATTCCAGCAGCTCCATTTAATCATTTAATGAAGTTTTTTCTCCCGTCGTTGACACAGGGGACGGGACAAAGAGTGACACATGAAAACAACTGCAGGGTGACAACGTTCTTTGCTGACAGACTGCATGAAAGCAAACATGGTTTTGAGGCTCCTCCCGCCCTTCGTTGGTTGGGGAAACGCGTGAAATCACTCCAGCGATATTGGTGTCGTCAGACTGTTGACAAAAAGAACATTTGAAACATCGAGTTAGTTTCAAAGCAGTGTGGTGGACTATTGGCTGGCACAGGGGCGTCAAACTCATTTTTGTCATTGGCCACATTTTAGTTACCGTTTCCCTTGGAGGGCCGTTATAACTGAAACCAAATTTTAAAAAGTCAATAGTAAAGGTTTATTCAACTATTGTTTAAGGTACTGTAATGAGTGGGTTGGTTACAAGAAAAAGCTTACAATATGTCTTTTATTTATTACATATGAGAATTTGGTAGAAATTTTAGCAAGCATCATGCAAGTTGACATGCTTGTTTTGCTTCCGCGGGTCACATAAAATGACGTGGCGGGCCGCATCTGGCCCCCGGGCCTTGAGTTTGACACATGTGGGCTGGCACATCTGCCTCAGTTTTGACATTCGGAGTTTGTATTTAACACAAATTAGGTGTTTCAGTGGGCAGCACGGTGTGATAGTGGTTAACACATTTGCCTCACAGTAAGGTCTTGGGTTTGAATCTGGGGTTTGGCCTTCCACTGTGGAGTTTGCATGTTATCCATTATTTTCTCTCGTTCGTTTCATTTATTATTACACAAAAAAAAAAAAAAACAACACAGTAAGTTTATATATTTCTTTGTCCAATTTAATAAAAACAAGTGTTTTTAACTTTGCAGTATAGTGTAGAATCTTATCTTAATGGAAATTGTTATTCAAGTCAACAAAATGGATGCTCAGAGTTCAGTTTCGAGGAAGCACTGTATTGTAACAAGTAGTCTTAGAAATGTTGAAACGAAAGTCCCTAACCCTAATGATGAAAGTCTGCTGTAATTTTACCACAGGGGGAGCTCACTTTTGTTTTGGTGTTAGATCCATTTTGTGACATAATCCAATCACGCTTCAACACTTTGCTCATTTCCTGGCAAAAACCTAATTGTGCCTCTCATCATGGCATTTCTCTGGTTTCCTGTTCCCCGCCCTGAGCCGGCACCACCACTACCACCACAACAACAAAAAGGAGGAGACACCACAATGCGGTCTTGTGACTTCTTAATCGAATGAGGGCTTTCAAAGCCACACAAAGACATCACTAGGTACAAACTGCCAGCATTTTGTTATACGTCAATCAATCAATAGCGGCAGGGGCGCTGCTGTGATAACTTCTCAAGTCGTCCATTAGCCCTAGTGACGCCAACGCAGCCGCAAGCTGAGTGCTAGCAGCATTGATCACTAATGGTCGGTTCCACTGGGTTGGAAAAACATCATGTGGCTGAGTGACTTTACTTTGCCACTTTTGCTTCCTGACCAATATGACTGGACAAACTGATCAAACAAAAGTTGTGTGACAGTCCATAATTGACCATGAATTATCCATTACTCATCTTATGAGAGACATTTTGGACAATTCTGTGCTTGCGACTTTGTTCTTTTCTGTGCCAGTTGGAAACTTTCCATTGACATTAATGAGAACGAGATGTAAAATTATCATAGTCAATATGCAAACTAAGGACGCACCTGAATAAATTAAAATATCATGGAAAATGTTCATTTCTGTATTTCCGATTCGACTAAAATGTACTTTTTAAAATCATAATTCATAAATTTCATGATTATAGCTACCAGCTATCGAAAACCTCAAAATGGCATTAGAAACAACACATTTGTCGAAGACGTTCAAAGGTGTTGTTCTTCTGAGACATGGAAAACATCCAGGAAAACCGGCCCTCAAGCAACAGGATTGACGACGCCCGATTTATGGTGTCTTGAAGAAATTGAGGCGAAATGTAGTCAAATGTTCCTCCCTCATTACAATGGCGTTATGCTAAGTCATTGAATCAAGAGTGGCAAACCTGAGGAGGGCTTTCTCGGAGGCCGTGGTAGCGGCGTCTGTGTTCACATCGCCTGGGTCCACATCGCCTGGGTCCACATCGCCTGGGTCCACATCGCCTTTGTCATTTTTGTCGGCTTTCTCCCCTTCTGCTTCAGATGTGCGTTCTGCTTCGGTGGGCTCGCTCACCTGGACAGTGGGTGTTGATGGACTGTCTGCTTTGTCTACAAAACAAACTAAAATGACTTGTCTGATATAGGGATGAATGATTTTGAAAAATGTCTAATTATAATTTATGCCCCTCAATATTACAAAAGCAATTGAACATGTTTTTTTCAAGGTCCTCTTTCCATGTTTTTTTTTTTTAAAACAAAGACAAGCAATAAATTGATCTGAATTACAATAAAGTTTATTTATTTAGCGTACTATTGTTTATTGAATAAACAATAGTACGCTAAATAAAAGCAAATGTAGCAGCAATTAATACAGTACACTATTTATATTCAATTTGAGTTGTTAACATTCTTGACATTTTCAGTCTTTGAAGAATTGACTATGACAACTTCAAATGTGACACAAACCAAAGTCAGTCAATTTTAATTCAAATTAAAACAATGTAAAAAAATATATATCTGTGACTTCATCACTTCAACTTTTCATGTTCCATTGAAACAATGCAACATAGATATGTGGACTGCACTTAAACCCTGAACTCATCGAGACACAATATACTGGAAGTAAATAAATAACTGAAATGAAAACTTTTGGGAGGGGTCAAAATTGCAGCTTTTGCATTTTGAAAACTGCCTTATACTAGACTGCAGTGTCAATTTGAATTTAATTTATGGTACACTAACACAGTCATTGATAACCTGGCGAGGGGGTGTCCGGCACATGCTGATGGTTTTCAGCGATGTCCGGGATGGTGGCGTTGGACACGTCTGAGGGAGCAGATTCAGATGGCGATGCGTCGGATGTGACTGTGGGAACAGCCTCTGCTTCTGACGCCATGACAACCTGCTGGACTTCTGGCAATTCCGGGGGTGATGGAACCGCTGTGGTGCCAGGGGGAACTGGAAAGGACAGTTAACAGAATGCGTTTATGTGTGGCAATAAAAAAAAACAAAAAAAACTGAGATGACTCAAGGACGGCTGGCCAAATGCTTATCTGTCCACTATTCTGCCATCATATTGTTCACTTCTCTCACCCTGTGATTCCTTTTCAGGGTGTTGTGAAGCATAATGCTGTCCCGTTTTGACTCTGATTGTTTGGGGGGAGTTCGGGTGGCACGCTTTGCCATTTTTCACGCTATGTTTCTTTTTCATACTTTGCTGTGGCAAGCTTCCCTCATGCTGTGCTTCTTTTCCAGGTCTTCATGCAGCACAGTGTGGTCATGCTTTGTCACTTCTTTTAACCTGGGCTTCTTTGGGCTTTTGTGCGGCACATTGCTCTCACACTGTCATGTCTCTAGTCACTTTATCACAGTCTCAGCCTGTGCTTTTATGAAGCACAAGCTTTCACATTCTGTGTGCTTCTTTTTCAGACTTTTTTGCGGAACAGAGTGTTTGTGTTTTGTCATACACTCATTGTTCTCACTTTTGTGTAGGACACTTTTGTCCCACTTTGGCCGCCTGATTCTCTGCGTCTTTTTCGGTGTCTCACATTGTTCTCATCCGTTGTCGTTTCTTTTACTCTGTGCCTCTTTTTCAGGCTTGTGCGAAACTGATGTCACACTTAGTATTGATGATTTCCACCACAGTCACGCTCTTACTTTGTGCTTCTTTTTCAGGCTTTCATGTGGCACACTGCTACTTTATTCCTCATATGTGTTTCTCGTTCAGGCTTTTGTGTTGCACACGCTTGTTTCACTTTGCCACCCTCTTATCTAGCGTTCCATTTTCATTTTTTTGTGTATCACACTGCAGTCACATTGTCACCTGATTATCCTGTGCTTTTTTAGTGGCACACTACTGTCACTCTGTGCTTGTTTTTCAGACTTCATACTAAATACAGAAAAGTAATCACGTGTGTATCGGAAGTACCTGTGTTCTCCCCACTGGGCTCAGTGGTCTCCTCCTGCTCCTTCTTTTGTGGAGGGCTGCTCTCAGCACTAGGGACTTTCAATGGGCTCTCCCCTCCCATGCTGCTGCGTGGCGACAGCATCTCCATCTCCTCCCCCCAGTCCGAAACGGGTTGGTGTCCGTCCACCAACTGGAACGGGCTGATGGGCTTTGCCACCTCTGAGGGATTCTGTGAGACCGCCTGGGGCGAGGGGATGTGGACTTTGGGTCTCGGTGCACGCTGCTCTCGGGGGCTGCTGGCAGACGACGGCGGGGAGCGAGACAAGGAGGATACAGCAGAGGTGTGGTCTTTGTTGACTTCCTCTTTCCCAGTATCTTTGTTCTTGTCTTCATCTGACAGTTCCTCCTCGCCTTCGCTGGCGTCCTCCCACTGGTCGTCGTCCTGCTCTTCATCTTCTGCCTGCTCCACCTGAGAGAGGACACGGTTAGGGTCACGGACCTTTTTAATGCGATTGTGTCCTCCCTGGTTTCTTGCTGCCCACCTTCTGTGTTGGCTCAGGTGTGGACTTCTTTTCTCGCTTGGGTTTGTCTTTTTTCTCCTTCTCCACATCTTCCTTCTCTCCTTCCCAGCGGTTGTCATGCATACTGCAAAAAATAAATAAATAAATAAATAAAATCATGTCCACGTCCACTTTATGTGTTTTTCTAAATGTACTGTTAAGTATGCAACCAACATGTTTGAGAACGTTACATTTTGGGGTATCTCCATTGCCTGTGGTCAATCAAAACATGCACTTCTTTAGACTGCACCTACAATCCTGATATTTAAACAAACTGTTTGATTAGAAAGCCTTTTGCTGTCTTTTTTTTTCCCACCCTTGACGACTGGTTGCTAATAATGCTAAACTGGAACCTCCAAAGTTGAACACCCTAAAAGTGGAACAGCTTGGTGTCTCAAGTACCAAACGCCACAGAATTCAAAAAAGGGACAACTCTTACAATACATTAGCTCGGTAAATATTAAAATGTGACTTAAAAATGCATTTATTGACATGTTTTCTGATGGGTGTCCCATCATATCAGTGACCCTGGAACAGATCAATTCACTCAATTCCCATGGGAAAATCCGATGAATGGCTAGAGTTCGTTCCACTGTTACGTCATTTAAGTTTAAATGGGTGTTCTACCTGTAACTGGGCTTCCCTCCTCTGCCCTTCCCTCTGCTTCGCTCCCCTCGAGGACCCTGGGATAGGAAGTCACCGAATGTGGGCACTTTGGGGGGACGCTTGCCATCGTCTGCCAGGGGGCACATTGTTGCAAAATGTCACATACAAAGTACACTTACATGCAATTTAATACACAATAAAGATGAGTTCATGTCATAGGTGGGCCACATTTGAATTTTAAGATGGGCAAAGGAGCCAGCTCATTCGTAGATGGAGTTAAAAAAAACAACACATTACAACCATGTTTTTTTGGGGGGGCGGATCAATGGCATTTCAAAAAGGAACATGATTTGATATTCAAGTGTGTTGCATGCGCTGTCACAGAAAAAAATTTAACTCATATCTCAAGATGCCATTGCATATCCTCGGCGGGCTGTACTAAAAAAAACAAAACAAACAAACAAACAAAAAAAAAAAAAACAAAATACAGATCACATTTTTTGCTAGCGCGCCATACTTTGCCCAACAAAGTATGGTTTTGGTTTTTGCATGAAAGATTGTGATTGAGAAAAAAACAACTGGCAAAACGTCAGATATGGAACTTCAAGACCTTTTGGGATAGGTCGTTTCTGACAAAAGGACAGTAGTTCATCTTAATCAAAAAATGAATAAAATGAACATAAAGAAAAGTATAGAGTGGTGGGTGAGAAGGAGCAGGGGAGAGGAAGGTCACAGCCTGAATGCTTTGCAGGGACGGAGGAGAGGCAGGATAAGTGCTTGAAGAGCAAGGCTGGAGGTGATGAAAAGTTTACACAGAAGGCGGGAAGCGGGATCAGAGAGGAGAGAAAAAAAAAGTCCCAGAGAGAATGGAGATGAGGACACTCGAGTCATTCAGCCAATTAAGAGGCAGTGAGTGATGTAATACATACGCCACTTCTTCCACTTAGAGTCTGGCAAACACTCAGAAAGCAGCAGTGAAGTAGCGCGAAAAATAATTCTCAGCTTTGAACCTTCACACAACTCACAGCTGATGCCAACCACTCTGCACCCACATCCTGTGAGTGTGAGTGTGTGTGTGTGTGTGTGTGTGTGTGTGTGTGTGTGTGTGTGTGTGTGTGTGTGTGTGTGTGTAAGCAAAAGCAAATGAGTTATCTGTGCATGTTAGGTCACAACGGGAGGAAACATGCTCAAAATGACAGAAGCTTACAGCTATTAAATTCCCACAACACTATTTGGCTGAATAAGTCTCACAATTCCAATATAAAAGTTCAACATTTCATCTCATGAAACAAGCTCTAAGATCTTACTACCTCTCTTATCACCATCTTCTTTCAGAAAGTGTCCCAAAAAGCCAAATACACACCCAGAGTTAATTCTTGGACGTTGATTGAAATGTGGCTGAGTTCGATTTAAACAGCCCATAAAGAAGATTTGATGTCAAACTGACTACCAGGCTGCCTGGCTCTGTAATACTACTCATCTCCTCACGAGGCATCAACGGGTCAGTATTGCGTGAAGAACTGAATTACAGTTGGGGACCACATTCGTGTCACTACTTCCATTTCGCTGTTCAAATGAAAGTGTCACCCTCAACTCGAGAACTGAGAAATTACGGTGGTGTGGTGTCTCATGTTGGATTGGGGTGTAAAATGAGAAAAATGGAGGAACACACCAACAAGTGTGCTCCTGTATTTCATGCACCACAAAGAGAAGTCAAGTGGCACACACTTGAAACACAAAACCATACCTACAACAAACACAAATACATGCACCGCACACAGAATTACTCCCATAAAATATGCCGCACATGTCACACACAAAAGACACTGACCAACTATACTGTATTCACAGCCCCCCCCCCCCACACACACACACACACACACTATCCCCTCCACAAGTGAGTGAGATAAATAAAAGGCACGTTAAAAAAAACACACCACACAAAACATACCACACACACAGTTACCCACCACCATTTCCACACAACAAACTGACAGCAACCACACCACCACAAACACACCCCACAAAACATGCATGCACATCCACAATGAAGCCGCTGCAAACACACTGGAGTGTAAACAGTGCTTGAACACGTCAGAGGCCCACTCTGGGGTCTAACCTGAGGCTCTGCCACGGGGCCCGCTGGCAAAGTTACGCCCTCGGACTGCAGGGAGGACACACAAAGACACCGCGACATCACTGACCGGGGGGGAATTACAGATTCATTGTGGGTGATCGGTCATTTCTCAGTATGGACCGAGGAAACCAATGAGGTCACCTGAGAGAGCAATGCCGCTCTGAGGAAATACAGCCAGACGTTTAGCTAATGATCTTAATGAACGGCCGCTCACATGACAGCTTCCATCGGTTCATCAGCCTATTGCGCACACGGCGTGAACAACGTTTTTGGGACACCGGCAGGAAGAAAATGTGACGCTGTTCCTTGCCTTAATGCCACTTGTTTAGTACAGTGTGAGCAGAAATGGAAGGTGAGTGAGTGAGTGAGTGAGTGAGTGAGTGACCTGAATTAGAAACTATTGTAAAAAGATCCAAATCATATTTAACCCACAAGGTCATCATGTGAGGGAACTAAAGTATATGATGTGTTGTGTTACCATGGCAACAGCAACATACCTCTCCTGCCACCCTGCTCTGGCGTGCCGGCCTCTGCCGCCGGATTTGCTTCCTCTTTGAACCTGTCAACGAAAACGACACGTTTGTGGTCTGTACGTGGATGCAATGAGGTGCCGCTGCTTCTTGTTATACATGTTCTCCGTCTTTTGCGCGTCCCACTCCCGCCTCCATTGTCCAGTGGCATTGCGATGGCGCGCCAGTCGCTCCTCGTCGATCTGTTCGCGCTCCTTTTTCCAGCGCAAGTACTCAGCCCGCTCGCGGCCCGTCATGGACATCGTCATGTCCATGGAACCTTTGGGGCCGGGACGCCGACTCTGGAGAGGAAAATACAACATGGAGTGTTTTGACTCACGGCGTCAGAAATGTGAGCTCCATTTATCATTGTATGCATCCTGGTTTTGTTTGGAAAATGCATCCCCCCCCCTGAAACATGAAATTTGGTTGTTATGTCAAATGAGAAGACCCACAGAAAAGTCTTGAGAAGTCATGCCCAAAAAGACAAGGTAAGGATGACATTTTGGTTTGAAGTCGCCATGTTAGGGTTTGATGATTCTTGAGAGCACCTCCTGGATTAGTTTTTTTTTTTTAATTCAGCCCCAGAAGCCAGAGAAGAGTTAACAACCTGAAATTTGGTAGTCATGTCTAAGATGTGTAGAACTGCAAAAATGTCTCTAGAAGCCATGGCCAAAAAGACACAGGAAGGCTTCTATTGTGGTTTGAAGCAACCATGTTAGGGTTTGCTGACTCTTGGTAGCGTCTCCAGGATTTTTTGCAGAGGAAAATGCTGCCCTGAAATCCCCCCTCCCCCAAAGTCACTTTGATTTTGGAACATAAAATTTGGCCACCATGTCTAGCATGAGTAGACCCACACAAAAAGTCCCAAGAAGCCGTGCACAGAAAGATATGGGAAGGCTTGCTCCCATTTTAGTTTGAAGCAGCCATCTTTGGATTTGAGCATTCTCCTGAAAATTCAGCTCCTAAAGCCAGTTTGACATGGGAGGATCAAATTTGGTGGACGTTTTTATCTCAAACACACAGAAAAGACTGAAAAAGCAACAACCAAAAAGTTACAGAAAGTCTGCACTTTTAGTTTGAAGCAGTCATTTTTGTCGAGCTGGACATATTCAAGTGTACGTCAAAAGCAAACTTGGCCCAGAGATTTTGTCCGACTGCAAGAAATTTGAAGCGGATATACGAGATAGACAAATGATGCTAAAATTGCAAAACATTTTAGTTTTCATCATTGCGAATCGTCACACTCTCAAAGTAACGGACTAAGTCATATTTTCACAAAAAATATTTCTACTTTTGTCTTCAACATCTCCACAGCATGCTAAATTCAGCTAAACCCTTTAACAGATTGTTGAATTCTACCCCGGAAATGAATTTATTCATAAATACGAAATAAGCAGTATTTGGTTCCGTTTTCCGTGATTTCTGAATAAAACAAAAAACAAAAAATTCACTGCGGCCATTATTTTAGGTAGATGAAAATGGGGGCAGTTTGATGACTTATTATAAAACAGGAAACAAACAAATACGCAGCCGGACCTAGCCTGTTATGCGCATTTACGTTTTTTGTTTTTTTGTTTTAAATAAAGTCCCAGAGAGCTGGAGGGAGATTTTTTTTCCCATTTCCATTTTTTTTTTATCTATCTCAACGTGTTTGACTCACAATCCACTCTTTTTCCAGATCGCCGCCAGTCTTGACATTGTCAAAGTCCAGCCCGCCCCAGTTGCGCACGTGTCTTCTGCTGCCCTCCTTGCGGTCCAGGTCGGGGGCGGGGCCCGAGCGTCGCGGGTCGTCTAGGAAGTTGCGGAGGGGCTTATCACTGTCTGCCTGAGGAGAGAAAATGTCAGCAGTGTAAATATACAAGGCGAGGCATACGTTTGTATATCTTTGCCATCTACGATACCCAAGGTATCTGAAACATAAAAAATATAAACTTCTGGTACATGTGGTCATACATGTATGGAGCCAATCACAAACATGTTTTTCCATGTTGACAAGGTCAAGGAGCAAGCAAATGTGGCGGCAGCGGAGATCACACCAAAGCTAGGAGGCAGGAGAGTTAATAGGCCTCAAACGAACTGTTTTTCATCAGGGCACCATGTGTTTGCCAATGTTCTGCCTTCCACCAGGCTCTTGTCATGTGGAAAACAATTTGGAAACTATTTTGTTTCTGTTGTCTGTCTGTTAAGGGTAATTTAAAACCTGAGTTGCTATTTATTTTTAAAGGGTTGTAAAAAGTCGCTCCATAAAGCACGTGTCAAATTCAAGGCCCGAGGGCCAGATCCGGCCGGCCACGTCATTTTATGTGCCCCCCCCCCAAAAAGAAAATCATATGTGTCAACTTTTTTTGCCATGTGTACACTCAACTGAACTATAATTGACAAACTATTATGGTTGACTGATTTAAAAACTTGTAACCCATTAATTTGTTGGGTAAATGAAATAAATCCGATGAGACGATTAAACATTTTTGTGGTTTCATTGTCATAAAGGCCCGCCGAGGGAAAACGTAACTTCAAAGTGGCCCGTGACAAAAATGAGTTTGACAAGTCTGACGTATAGCAACCGAATCGCGACGGCACAAATATTGATTCTGCTTTCAAAAGCTATCTCCTCTCTGTTCACAGCCATATTGTCTGCAAAAGCAGTTCACATCAGAAGAGATGCGCTTTGGACTACAAAAGCCGCAAAAAAAAATAAGTCTTGACAAATAATTTAGTATTTGATTGCAAAAACGGATAAATCATGTAACACTAGCAGAAATTAATACATATGCGATCCAAATGTATTTGTTACCCGTTGTCCTCGCTCATACTCTGCTATTCTCTCCATTTCCTCATTCATCTTCTCAATGTTTTGTCGCCTCTTCTCCTCCCATTCCTGGTTGGGGAAAAGGAAATGTGTCACATTTGGCCAAAAATAAAAGGAAAAGTATTACGGTACAAAAAAAAAAAAAAAATTAGATTCACCTTGGACTTCCTGTCCACACCGCCTGGTGTCCCCAATGCGTCTCCTCCTCCTCCTCCTCCTACTCCACCACCACCACCACCACTCGGTCCTCCTCTTCCCCTCCTTCCTCCTCTACGTCCTCCTCCTCCTTCACCTGGCTCTCCATCTCTGGGTGCGCGCGGTTCCCGCGTTCTCCTCTCCTGGCGGACACCACCTCCTCCTCTGGGGGCCCCCCCCCTTGCCATCCGGCCAGAGCCCGTCCTCCTTGGGGGGCTGTGGCTGGGCCCTCGGGGTCCATCATTCTCCTCCGACGCTCTCCGACCGCGGGGTATGGTGGGCTTCCAGTCTTCCACCACCCGCTTGTCCTGCAGCAAGCAAAGTCATTGGCCTTTGAGTAAGATTAGCGAGGAAGTCAAGCGTGGTGTTTTTGTTTTAATATTTGAAACACCAGGTGAGAATTAATACTCCCTGAGTGTGTTGTAATCTGCTCTTCTGACTGTGAGATTGATTATGTACAGTAAATATGTAATGTAATATTGATGGTTGGGGGTCAAAGGCTCATGAAATGTTGCTGAATATTTTAGTACTCGCTACAAAACATTGCTCAACACACACACACACACACACACACACACACACACTCTTCCCTCTACCTCAATCTTGTGTCATTCTCCAGATGCCGTGCAGACAAATGCAACGCGAACAACGAGGCAGCTGCATCAGCAGAATACTTGAAGGGTAGAGTCACAATTGTATTGAACAACTGTTGATCGAAATGAAAGTGCTCAATGCCTTACATTGTGGGGGAGCAGCAGTCGCTGCTCCCCCACAAGTGCATCGCTGGGCTCCGTAATAATGTGCTTAGTGGGGGAGCAGCGACTGCTGCCAGGGTCACAAGTGCATCGCTGGGCTCCGTAATAATGTGCTTTTGAGACAATTAACATTGAAAAAAATAAAATAAAATCAACAAATCAAGACAGGCATAGGTGTATACTGAGTGGATGTGAAACATAAAATGCATTTGATGAATGAAAGCATTTTAAAGGAGAGCTGGATTTCTGGAGGCTCAACATCCAAATTCACGATCAAATATGAAGTGTGGGCTCCCTTCTGGCGAGCGTGACGCAAACAGAGCAGAACATAAAAGCAACATGTAAACAAATTACAGCGCGTGTCTGGACTGTTATAGCATCATGTTGAAGCCACAGCTCAGATTTCCAGCTGCTACCAGGGAAGGTCATTTCATCTAACGCAAGGTTTTTCCGGTGTTCATCCAGCAAGACCAATTGATATCGCTCAATACAGCGTAAAGCTTCAGTTTTGCTCATTGAGCGATTGATGTTCCGCTGCGGCAGTGATGGATTTTAACTGCAGTTGCAGCACTGCGCCACTAGGGAGGCGCTATATCAACAGCTGTGCACAGGAAAGACTTTAAGCAGCTCCCGAAAAATAAACTGATCAAATTGTGTTTTTTCCCCACTAAGTTGTTAATCGGTGCCCCGATTTTCCCCAGCGGATTACACAAACAGCTAAATATTGGCTGTTCTTTTGTTTTTTGCATCCGAGCATGTCGTGTTATTTAAAATAAAAGTTTCCTTTGTGTCAAAGTAACATTTATGATTTTTAGCATTGCAGATATGGCAGGGAAAAGCAGCCACTCGCAAGGAGGAAAGCCGAGACCAGAGCAGATAAATCAACGCAACAGGCAGTTAAAAAAAATTTTTGGTGTGAAACAATGGTGATATGCATGTTTTAAGAAACAAACGCTTTCACGTGATAATAGTCATATTCTTATTAGAACTCTTAACTTAATGTATGTTTCCTGTAAAAGAAAGTGAGTCTGTTGAATTTACACAATACATGCGCGTCATGGCGCATGGTCAGGATGGTACCACCTCTGCCTTGATTTGAGCCAGGAAAAACCCTGCAATGTTTATCTTTTTACGAGGCGCACTGACAGAATCACAAGAACACAGGCTCGGCTCTCCATGACGCACGCGGCATTCTGTTCTAGTGCCAGGCAGTCTGATTTACCGATTGCTTGATGCATTGCACCAGACAATTACATATTTCATGTGTTCCCCTGTTTACAAAGTACCGGTATACAGTTGGACACCGTCAATGATCAGTTGGGGGGGGTTTACACTACTTTCGATCCACAGCTGGTGGCAGGCTTGACATGACCATGTCGAAGCCAAAAGGTAAGCACAGCTACATTAAGTTTGGTTGGATGCAAAGATTACTGCTAACTAACAGCTTCTGAGAATGAGGACAGGAGGGAAGAATGAAAAGTTGATCGCTGCATCCCAATATACGCACTCCCACCCCACTTCAAGATCAATTCAGTAACATCTCCTCTTCACCTCCTGGCCAGTAGGAAGCGGTTTGCCTGTGTTTCACGTATCGACGCAGGCCGCACTTTACCAAACAAGAACAAAATCCAAAGCAGCAAGCAATGTGAAGCCAAAGCTTTCAACTATTAAATCCAACATTTGTGGTCATTTTGGAATCCCATGTAGATCCGGAACACACAAAATTGTGAAAAGTAAGGTCATTTGTAAGCTGTACCACGCAGCATTGAAGTATGGCAGAAACATGACAAACTGGGACAAGCACGAACACTGACAACCATGCTGATCTTGCAACAAGACATGGTAAAATCTGTTCACTCAAAACAGATGCAACTTAACAAATTATTTGCCTGCTAACTGATGCCAAATCATGTAAAATCAATATTGAATAGGATCCCAACCTAAAGAATCGAAATCGTATTGAATCGAATGGTGAGGTTGTTAACAATACCCAGCCCAGGAAATCTCCACCATTTGTCATGAGAGCCACTTTGAGTGAATGTCGCAGGGTATGATGAGTAGATGACGACTGACATTTCCTGGAAAAGAACATCCCGAGTTTTAGATTCCAACTTACCCCCGCTGCCGGCGACTTAGACAGGTCGACCGTGATAGTGAAGTTTTCCTTCTCCATTTTCCTTCGGTCCGACTCCGACTGCTCATGGGAACGGGGCTTACGCGGCGTGGTGATGGCGATGCCCTCCTGCTCTGCCTTCTTCTTGTCTTCTTCTATTTCCTGTTGGTAACATGAATGCAGGCCAATGAGAAAACAACAAATGACCCAAAGCATCGATTTTTTTTTTTTTTAACATTGTGAGAGTTGACCACGTACTTGATAGCGCTTGACCAGAGCCTCGTTCTTCTTCCTCAGCGCTTCAATCTTTCGGTCCAACTCTGCGTCCTTCTCCTCCTTGGTTTTGACATCCACTGCTGAAGACTGACACACACACACACACACACGCACACGCACACGCACACGCACACGCACAAAAGAAAGTGAAGACATTAGATGACAAAAGAATCAATGAGAAAATAAAACAAGATGGGGGGTAAGAGAAGAAAAAAAACACAAAACAAGAGATTTTTAATGACAGACAAAACGGAAAGGAAAAAACAGAGTAAGATGGACCACCAAAGAGGACAAGAAGAAAGACAAGACACAAAAGACAGAAGAAGAAAAAACAGGCTAAGGACAAAAACATCATGAACACACACAAGTGATTCATTTGAAACATGTCACTAGTGAAAGAGCACCGACTAGTGGACGGCAAAAATTGCACATCAACAAACTAATCAGACGATTAATTCGTTTATGGGATTCTTGTTATCCCAATTATTGGAAAGTGCATTGACCTAAAAAAAAATCATATCGGGCAGGCCCTAATAAAAAGTCCGACATTTGACTTCTGCCAGCAGATAAGCGCGAGCTTGATGATTATCCACGATAAACCACGTTGCCATATTTTTGGTTATATTTCACACACAAAAGATCACATTTTCTTCACGTGATGTCTTACATTTAGTGGTTCCAAATAATCTGGATTTTGTGATCTTGTCGATGACTTTTTGTCATAAGCATTACCAAAAAGCCAAAAAAAAAAATAATTTATTGTTCGGGCCCTATAATTTATCTCCTATAACTAAATAGTTAATAGTCCACATCACTTCTGTGATGTTGTTTCTTCGGAAATTGTTTTAAAGTCCACTTTCACTTGACATACATTGTAATACAGCGCTTGCTTACGAGAGTTTGTGGAATTAAAGGCCCACAAAGCCCATCTTGGGAACTCTGCTTTCAATATAAAACAGACCTCAATGAATACGATGAATAAGCATGTAAGGTCAAAAATGTTTTTGATTAATAAATAATTTCTAATTCCTAAACTCTTCAGCTATTAGATACTGTACTGATTCAATAAATCAAATCTGATGGCACAGGATGGGTACGATTGTAAATTGTCAATTGGTGTGAATATAAGCTTGAATGCTTGCCAATATGTGTCCTACGTACCAGTTCAGAGTGTGCAACCTGGAGAAAGTGGCACTTTTAAAAACGGTTGAACTCACCATTGTTGCTAGTATCTTGTCGTCATGCATGGGCAGTGGGCTGACTGATTTTGAGATAATGCACTGGAAAAAAAAGACAAAAGTCTATCATTTAGTAAAACACGTTGCTAGCTGGTTTTACAGCATTTACTCAGAGCATGTGTTGCAGTGGGGAGCAAAAAGTATGTTGAGATCGTGAGAAAACACAACTGAGTGCATAAAGCCATTAAAAAAAGCCACTGACAATATGTATTAGTGTGTGTGAGTGTGTATGTGTGTGTGTAAAAAAAATTTAAAAAAAAAGCACAAAAAATATTAGCATCAAATCACTGTTCCGCTTCACGTATTTCTCACAAAAAGCTTTTTATCAGTTTTTTTTTGGTCAGAAACTGATGTTCCTGGTTAATTTAACCCACCTTTATTGCTAATTATAAAGGAGCGGAAACACGTAAGAACGAGCTTGCAAGATGGGAAACTGCCTTACAAACGATGGAAGGGAATGATTTAATTTTTTTAATTTCAAATTGCTCCATTGTACATTCGCAGCAGGGCTTAAGTGTAGAAGGAAGGGTTCAGAAGTAGTACAAACATAACATTTCATAAACTTTCCATAACAAGTTCTCCTCAAGTGTCATTTACATTAGAATTGAAGTAGTCTGTAGTGTATTTGCAAACTAGTTAAATACAGTAACACTGGCCGTTAGGACCCAACAAAGATGACTTTTGGTCACGTTTAATAGTCACCATCCAACCTTATTTGCTTAGTTATCCATCAATGACGTTTCATATTGACGCAGTGGTCATTTTGTCTGCATTGCAATGGAAGTGACAAGGCCACGTGAAGCTATTTTAGATCAATCGCACCTAATCCGAGCTCAGGTGAGGTAAACAGAGGTTCGCGCATGCGTGGAATCAAATATTTCACGAGGACCCGCGGCCAGCAAACCAAAGTTTGGTATAATACGAGTCACCAAATACACAATATAAATCATTTCAGACACAATCTAAACAAAACATTTTCGTCGACATTGAGCACGTTTCCGCTCTTTCCCAGACGCCTCATGTGACGAAATGTCTGACTTCAACGTAACGTAAGCACCAACAACCATGACACAAAGCGATCCACACGAATCAAGCCGCAACGCCGAAACGGACGATGAGCCTTAAACCGAGCGAGGCGAACGATAACGCTGGTAGATGTAAAATCCTGCTTTTTGCAAAGTAATTACCTCGAGTGCTAGCAATGAGTTTTTACTGGTAGCTCCCTGCCACTTTCAGCACCTATGAGTGCTCACGTTTTTTGGGTTCCGGTGAAGTAGCATTCACTTCCTGCCAAAAAGTGAGACATACGCAGCGGATTTAAAGGGACAGTAGCGCTAGTCTAACCCAAAGTGAGCTAGTTAATCACGTATTTTTTACTATTTTTATTTTTAAATTTGACATCATATCTGTCGTATAAGGTTACTTATATAATCGCTGTTTTTTTCATTGATAAGGAAAAGTAGACGTTCTAAGCATTTTTAAGGAGCAAAAGACATGTAGTACAGGGATTTAACGACTGATGGCGCAAGGTAGCAACAAAGTCTCTTGTCTGTTCGTGTGTGCGTGTGTGTGTGCGTGTGTGTGTGTGAGTGTGTGTGTGTGTGTGTGTGTGTGTGTGTGCGTCAAATTAAACTCAGGTGCTGCATTCAGTTACTGTCTGAAATCACACCTTTCTATCAATCGTTTCACTGTCTGTTTTCACATCTGTTTCACATGGTAAAAATGCTTAACCTGTAATAATCTAAAAATTAAATTACATATAAAAAAAATGGCCTCCATATTTGTCATCATGACACATTTCATTGTACTCTCTCTGTGTATTTGCATGTTAATAATTGGTCCATCTGTATTAATAGTAGTGTATGCTGGATTATTGTTGACAATGCATGAGTAAAATATAGCATTCTTCATTGGGGTCACACAAAGGTTACACCAAGATGGCATATGATTTTAGTGGCATGACATCAGGTGACCAATATGATGATATAATAGGTAGAAGTTGAACATAACATGTTTGCAAGGGTCAGTGGTCGTCCATCTGTGTGAGTCATCCTCATTACTTCCTGGTTGAAGGAGGTGGAAGAAGGTTGTGGGAGTGGGAGGGTGGATGTTGGGCGATGAGCTCATTGTTGAACGAACCAAACAAGCTCCCGAGAGACAACACCGGAGCCCTTGAGGTTGTGATCACGAAGAGATGACACCAACGCCGGCCACTTTTGTTTATACACAAGGCTGTCTCCTGGGTGAGGGGGTAATGGAAATGGCTGTGATGTGTGTCTCCGGGCAGTTTACAGATGGAATAGCCAACAGCACTAAAGTTTCCTCCAGCTTTAAGCCACCTCGTGTGAAGTTTCTCTCTTAATATGATTCCCATTTCCACATCTGCAAAAATGACAAAAATGATGTAATATGCTAGGGCTGCAACAATTATTTGAGTAGCTCAAATAAGATACTGTAGAAGTGTGTTAGCACTGAGCCAGAACAGCTGAGCCGCCAGAACCGGTGTTTTGTTTACATGGAAAATGTTCGTGCGAGTCTACTTTCTATGAGAGTTACAGACTCAAACAATGTGTCACAGTTTAAAAGAGAAACATTACAAATCAGCTTCCTGCTAATGTAGCTGGGTAGGAAGATGACATGAGAAAGGGGCCAGGGACAACGTACAGTCATATTTTTAGCTACTTTCTGAACTCCATTCGTGAGGAAATAGGCAATATAAAATCTCTGCGCCATGTCAATACCTACACAGTAAAATTGGTGTTGTTTTATTTAAAGCGGTTGCACACATCTTAATATACCTTAAAGCAGACGTAGAACCCAGTCAAAGCCTTTTTCTTCCTTCAGATCCACTACTTCCGACTGCAAAACCTGGTACATAATAAACACAGTCACTCATGGTGCCGTGGCACAAACGCTAGATGTGTGTGCGGGCAGCGTAGGCTCGGTTCCCACTCAGTGACGGTGTGAATGGTCGTTTGTCTCTATATGTGCCCTGCGACTGATTGGCGGCCTTCCGCCCGAAGTCAGCTGGGATAGGCTCCTGCAATTCCCTCCGACCCTGTTCAGGATAAGCGGTGTTGAAAGTGGATGGATGGATAATAAATAACAACCAAATTAAATGAAGGTTAAGATTAGAATATGGAATCAGTGAACCATGTCGCTGCTGAAATTAAGTCATTTCTCGGGATACTGCCCAACAGTCCAAAAGCCCATCACATATGACCTGTTCAGAAAAAGGTGAAACTACATGTTGTTGCCTGACTAAATGGGGATGTACGTCTTCATCAGCGTCATCATCAACATATCTGCCATTTTGGAGGCTACGGGACTACATCGCATGACATGCTCTGGCCTAGTGTTCCCCTGAGTTATTGTTATATTTAGTTAAGGGATGCAACAATGCCTCCCACAATCGCAAAGGGAAAATTGTTAAAAACAGATATGTAACAGGTGGTCTTTTTAAATTAAGATATCAGCTTAATATTTCTGTGTTCCTCATCCCTAGGTTACTGGGGAAGACTAAATATTCTCACAACAATATTCTTTGCCTCGGGTTTGTGTTCAAAACATTGCTCTTGTAGCTACAGATTCAATGTGGTTGTAGTGCAATCGCGGAAAGCACAAGTTCCCATGATGCATAGGAGATTTAAACGCTTTGGGAACTGATCATTTGTTTCAAAAAGGAAACAAAAAAATCATCAAATAAATTGCTCCACAATATGAAAACTCCTAGTAACTAATCACTCACTGCACCTTCCGGTGTCTCACCGGAAGTTGGGCCCATAATTGTTTCTACATCAGAGCCTCCAGGAATAACCTGGATATTGAAGATCCAAAAAGTCACAGTTTCAATATTGGTGTGAGTACTTAGTCGCCAGTGCAGACGAAGTAACATGACCTCTCCCTCTCCCATGGTTGGTGCAGAGAGTCAGCTTGGTATCTTGTCATCTTTTCAAAAAAATGTTTCAGGTACCGCAGCTTGGTAAAGGACAAATATGCAAAATGTGCTTATGAAGAGTGATTATTACTGTACATAAAGCAACACTTACAATTCTCAAAAAATATTTCAACAGCTATTACACCATAAAGCAACATTTACAATTCTCAAAAAATATTTCAACAGCTATTACATGTATGAGACCGCCATTCATGACTCCAACAAATTCAGCAACGTTAATATGTGACTATTTTGAAATGAACGTTTACACCCAGCTATGAGAGTAAGCATGTCCACATTTAGGGAATTAACTATTGTGGCGCTAACTAGCATGGCTAACATCAGTTTGTTTTGGCTCTGATGTTATTTCACAAAGTAAAGAAAGATAAGTTGCTACTCGTTTTCTGAGACAAAAGTAGGGTGACCGTTGTAGGCGCCTACATTTTGATTTTATTTAGAAGAATTCAATTGTTATAGATTTGAATATGTTTAGTAAAGTATCTATGTTCCTGAACTTAACTAAAAATTCCAGTTGTAATAGTTGCATTCATAGTTTGGAACAACAGGGTTAATTATTCAATATATTCAGATACACAATGCACAGTCAAACACCACCACGCACACATGATCTTGTTTGTTTGTGTGAAACGATGAATGATGATACTCGCCCGGGCATGTACCTGACTGAAGCTCAGCACCCCCTCCTTAAACCCCCAATTCTGCAGCCAACGGACATGGTGGGTGAGGGGGTAGGAGTTCAGGGGTGGTGGAGTGGGGCAGGGAGGGGGTTCATTTCCAGCTGATTAGACCGCCTTTAACCCTACAACAACCCACCCCCTCTCGCCCCTCTCTGCCCTGCAGCTGGGGTAGACAATGTGAGCCGGGTTAGAGGTCACCTGGCGGGGGTGTCACCAGTCATTTGTGATGCTAATGCTATTCTATGATGTCACTGTAAATACTACCACTACTACTGCTCCAAGTGACATTATTTTTACTGCCATGCTGCCCACATGTGTGTCACGGCGTTGTAAACACAACAGAAAAAAGACAGGCTGTGTATAAAGCGACACTTTCATCCATATTCTCATTTGAATATGTCAATTAGCTTAGCAACAGTAACTGAGCAAAAGCTCAAACATTGAAGTCATGCTATATGTGAATTTCAGGTCCGGTCACATGAAGTCTACCATGACTATTCCAGGCCACAACAAGCACATGATGGAATGATGGAAATTAATCCGTGTGGTTGGTCAAATGGGATCCAAAAAACCCCAAAAGGTTATGTTACATAATATATTTACTGTTGAAAAGATTTCATGTGATCGTACTGTATCTCTCGTCACTGTACAGTGAACCCCCACTATTTACGGGGTTTAGTGATGAAGTCTTGATGTGAATAGTGAAAATCTTCCAGTACTGTAATTGAAGCCCCCATCCAAAATGTTTGTAATTAACTACATTAGTAGTTTAAACAATATACACCTAACTGTTTTCTTGGACAATTAAATATCATTTTCAACTCATCTTACATTACCCTGAAAAATAAATTGATGGCTTTCGAAAAAGGTTGTGCTGCTAGCAATCAGTAGTTGATCAGCTATTAACGTCCACCACTGCTAATAGCAATCCAGACCTTTATCTGGATCATTTTGAGAACTCTACCACTCAGCCATCTCCAGAATCAACCCCACAAAAAGCCTGGCCTGCCTGTCAGATATCATACTCCAGTTCGAGGTTAAACAGGTTGGCTAACAGCCAGTGGCCATTGCAAGCTAGGTCTTAGCACAGAGGTCACCAACCTTAAAAAAAAAAAAAATATATATATATATATATATAAATTATTTAAAAAAAACTATTGAACTTCTTTGGTTGGGGTACTGATTCATGTGAAGGGATGCCCATTTGATGCAAATCTGAAATGACAGATTTTCCCAAATTGCAGAATTTGGAAATAAATTATCTGTATGCCATAGTTTGGTCATGCTCTCCAGTAATGCTCTTAAAATTATTGTATTTTTTGTTTGTTTGTTTCTTTTAAGAAATATTGTCTTATACTAATTCACACCAAAGCAAGTGATTTTAAGAAGACTAGTCATAGTTCAACGCAGTCCACTGAGAAACAGCGCAATTTTTCTTATCTTATTTTGTTTCAGTGGCATTTAATGGTTGATGCAAATCAATGGTGTAGAACACGGGTTCGTGATTTTCTTTGTCATAATCCAATAAAGACGATTATCTTTCCAGTTCCCATTGTATGATTCGTGAGTACCGTGGCCAAGTCAAGGGTCAGGTCAAGTCTAACACTTTTTTCATACCATTCCATTAATTCAGATGATTATCCAATCCACATTTT